GAGGAGGAGGAGGACGAGGGAGGAGGAGGAGGAGGAGGAGGAGGAGGAGGAGGAGGAGGAGGAGGAGAGAGGGAGGAGGGCGGAGGGAGGAGGAGGAGGAGGAGGAGGAGGAGGAGGAGGAGGAGGAGGAGGAGGAGGAGGAGGAGGAAGGGAGGAGGAGGGCGAGGAGGAGGAGGAGGAGGAGGTGGAGGAAGAGGAGGAGGAGGAGGAGGAGGAGGAGGAAGAGGAAGAGGCAGAGGGGGAGGAGGAGGAGGAGGAGGAGGAGGAGGAGGAGGAGGAGGAGGAGGAGGAGGAGGAGGAGTAGGAGCTCTGGCGGCGGAGCCGCTGGTAGACAAAGAATGCCAGCGGCGAGCTGCCCAGCTGCACGGGTCCTGGCCGGGGGCATCCGCCCTGACCTTCCAGAGTGCTTACAAATAGCACTCCAGACCTACGGTAAGTTAGCGTCGTGTCGACCAGCGGCGACCCGGCCGCCAGCGTTCAACGTTGATCGATTAGATGTAGTAGCGACCCTTCGCCAGAGTGACCTTTGGTGCGGGCCCAATGGGGCCCCCCGATCGCTGATCTCGAGGCGGCAGAGGCGTTTTGTGCGCTTGTGTTTGGCCACACCGCGGCCCCTCAAAGCCGCGCGCCAAATGTTACTCGTACCCAGGGTCACTCTTGCGTGTAGCCGAGTTGAACGCCGCTGGCGACCCAGAATGGGGTGATATTGAACGGTCTGACGTTTCGGAGACGGCCGATGGTTCAAGGTTGAGCGATCCCCGCGGTGTTTGGAACCAACGTCGAAGTCGTCACAACACGAGCCTGCCGTACAGACCTATCTGGACTGCTTAAGACCTCGACTGGAATTCGGGTATCTAGGTCAAGGTGCTACTTCTTGGCCATGCCGGAAGATCAGGGTGGCTGCTGGATCTTGGCTCCGCCGCGGCTCAGAGACGCAGACTGTGGGCGGCGAAGCCGCTGGAGCTTCAAAACACGGCCCCCAGGGATCGTGCCCGCCTCCCGCCTGGGCGCCCGAACACATGGCAGTGCGGATGGGCCGGGGAGGGATGAGCACGGAGGGAAAGGAGGGACGAGCACGGAGGAGGAGGGATGAGCACGGAGGATGAGCACGGAGGAGGAGGAGAGGAGGAGGAGGAGGAGGAGGAGGAGCATGGCTGGAGGGAGGAATGGATGCGGCCTGGAGGCGCGGCACCCGGGCCATCCAGGCGCTGGGCCATGCAGGCGCTGGGCCACAGCTCGCCTGCCCGACGGCTGCGAGCGGCTCGGCCCGAGAGCGCCGGCGAGGCGTGCGCAGCCTGCGATGGAGGTCCTGGGCGCGGCGGCTGGCTCTGCACGTGCCTGCCGCGCGGGGCCGCCCTCCGCCGGGAGTGTGCGGTTGACGCCGCCGCCCCCGCTGCCGCCAGCACCGGGCCGGAGTCCGCTGGCCCGCAGGCGCGGGGATGCGGCCCCCCGCCCTCGACGGCTTCGCGCCGGCGACTGGGCGCCTATCCAGGGTCGGCCGGCCCTGCCGCCGAGGGCCCCGGGCCGAGTTCCGCCGCGCCTGCCGCGCTGGCAGCGCCCGCCGCCGCGGCCCTGCTGCCAGCGCCGCCCCCGCAGCCGCTGCAGGACGTGGAGAGGCAGAGTGTTTTGGACGGGCCTGGGCGCCATCGTCCTCGCGGATGTGCCCCCTGGCTCTGGTAATTACGTCGACTACACGTAAGAGTTACCTTTCGCAGGAGTGACCTTTGGTGCGGGCACAATGGGGTCCCCCGATCACCGATTGCGATGCGACAGTAGCGCGCCCGAGTTTGGTCACCCCGCGGCCCCCCAAAAGCCGCGTACCAAAGGTCACTCTTACCCAGGGTCACTCTTGCGTGTAGCCGATTACGTCCCTGGAGGAGCCTGGGCGGCAGCCGCGCAGGCCACCGAAGCAATCTGCAGAGCGGTGTTGCGCGCCGCCCACGGCACGGTCACGGAAGAGAGGGCGTGGGTAATCCTCCTGCTCAGAGAGCGGCTGCTGTACGCGGCGCCGATCCGCCGCAAAACGGGCCGACGACGCCAACCGGACAGCGAGCCTCCCGAGAGGGCGCGCCTGGTCCGACAGCGGTGTTCCTTGCTACTGCTCGGCGCGTGGGGGGACCTCCTTGAGGAGGCCCGGCAGGCCTGTCGTAAGCTGGCCCTGGCCCTCCGGGAAGTGGAAAGAGACGGGGCCAACGACAGGGACCGTCTCGCCGACCAGGTGGTGCGCCAGGTCCTCGCTGAAGAGTGCTCCCGAGCAGCCGCCCTCCTGGCGAACCCTGGCCTGGCGCCGCCGACGGAGGAGACGGCGGAGAAACTGCAGGAGCTCCCGGCGCCCCGGGGCGCGCCAACGCTGGCCCGCGACCCCCGCCCAGGGACGCCCGCTGCTCCTGCTTCGCCGCTCGCGCAGGCGGAGCTGAAACGGGCCCCCCGGCAAGGCCCCGAGGGAAGTGGCGCCGCGGTCGGCGGCGGCCGCTTCGAGCACTGGCTGGTGGTGCTCGCCGAGCCCGCCGCGCTCGACGCTCTCTGCGAGGTTTGTGACCGCCTCGTTACCGCCGGCTTGCCAGTAAGCGAATTGCCGAAGCTGTCGCCCTCTCCAGACGAAGCCCGCCTCGCAAGCCAGGCCACGGGGTGCGCCCCAGCGCGGCCCCCAGCATCCTTCGCCGGCCGGTGCGGGAGAGCACGCGCGACGCCGCTGAAGCGGGACCTCGCGGACGGCCTGGGCAGGCGGCAGTTCGCGATCGGGACGAAGGCAGGGATTGAAGTGTTCGCCCACGCTTTCCGGGTGGTGAGCGAGAGCAACCCCGACTTGGCGTGGCCCTGGACGCCTGGAGCGCCTTCTGCTCAGCAAGCATGGAGGCTTGCTTCGCGGAGCATGAGGGGGCGGCGCCGAAGCTTCTCCCTTTCGATGAGCTCTTCTTCCAGCGGCGCTCCGAGGTCTACTTCTGGGACGGCAGCGGGGCCTGTCACAGGCTGCGCTCCGCGGGCGGGGTTGGCCAGGAGGGCCCCTTGGCGTCATTCCTTTTTCGCTTGCGGGATACGCCCATGCCCTGCAGGCGCTGGAGGACACGCTGCGCGCGGAGGCTGGATGGCGTCGTCGTCCTGGCGCCGCCCGCATTGGCCGCCGCGGCCACGCCCACCGCGCTGGAAGCTTTGGGGGACTCCGGCCTGGAGCTGCGGCCGGACAAGAGGAGCAGTGGCGCCCGCGGGGTTTGACGCTGGTGGGCGCCCCCTTCGGCGAGCCGCTGCCGCCGGGGAGCTTGTCAGACGAGGCGAACGGGCGGCGGCTGGACTTCGGGGCGTCCGCCTTCGCCGCCGGACGCTGCGCCGAGACGGCCCGGCGTGGCGACGCTGCCGGCAAAGCTCGCGGACCTGCCCGGCCTGGCCTCGCCGCGCCTTCCTCGGCGCAGGCGGCGGGCCTCCTCCCGCGACGCTGCGGCGCGGGGAAGCTGGCGCAGCTCCTGCCCTCTGGCCCGCCGGCGAGCGCGCGGGCCGCCGCCGCCGCTTGCGACGACGCGACCCTGGAGGTTCACCAGGGGCTAGCATGCCTGGACAGTTTGACGACGGCACATCGCGCCCACTGCCGCCTGCCCCTTGGGCTCGGAGGGCGCGGCCTCCGCTGCCAGGAGGAGCCCGCGACCGCGGCCTGGGCGGGCTCCTGTTCGCAGGGCCTGGCGGGGACACCGGAGAGAAGCGGCCTGAGCGGCCTGTCGACCTGGGCGCTTGCGACCTGCCGCTGGCCGCCGCTGGCCGCCGCTGGCCGGGTTGTCCTGGCCGTGTTTCCAGGGGCGCCCCCTGCGGGCGACGAAGACGCGCCGCTGCCGCCCTGGCGGGAGTTCGCTGAGGCGCCTCGGCGCAGAGTCCACGAGCTGCTCACGCGTAGGCTAGACGAAAGGAGTTACAACGTCCTCCTGAGCACCCTGCCCCGCGGACTGGGCGCGCTTCCGCTTTTGCAGCGGCCCCCATTCGGCTGGCTGGCAGCTGGCCAGCGGCGGGCCCTGGCAGCGCTTCGACGACGAGGACTACTTGAGCGCGGCGCGGACGCTGCTGGGCCAAGACCTCGCGCCGCTGGGCAGCCGCTGCGGGAGCGGGGTGCGGGAGCGGGGTGCGGGCTGTCGCACGCGCCTGGTAGCCTTGCGGCCAGCCCCTCTGCGAGAAGGCGCGCCGTGCCTTCTGGAGCGCCTGTGGCGGCGGCGTCAAGGTGCGCAGCTGGGGCGTCGAGGTTGTCTGGGAGCGCATTCATGCTGAGCGCGGCTTGCGGGCCGCGCGCCAAGTGCACGTCCCAGCTTGGGACCGCTGGCGCTGGGCGCGCCCGACCCCGGGCTGCGCCCCGCGGCGCCGCGGACGCCCCGCCGCGCGAGTTTTGCTGGGCGTGCGGGGCCGCGTTCCAGACTCGCCGAGAGGAGGCGCTCCTCGACTTGGAGTGCCAGCGGGCTGGCTGCCCGCGCCCCCTCGCGGAACCCCTTCGCGGACGTCGCTATCCGTTACGGGGTGGCAGGCAAGCCGCGCGCCCTCGCTGCAGCGGCAGAAACCGACGGGGCAGTGGCTTGGGAATGCGAGTGCGACAAACGGCGTCGCTACCCCGCGGGCCGCGCGCCCTGGCGGGCGCTGCCGCTCGCCCTGGATACGAGCGGGCGCCGCGGGCCAGCCGCGTTCCAGCACCTCCTACGACCGCGCCCAGCTGCTCGGTGACGGCGCAGAGGCCGCGGCAGCTGCCAGCGCGCTCGCAGCGCGGTGGGGCGCCGAGCTGAGCACAGCCCTGCACCACGCGACGGCGCGCTAGTACCAGACGGCGCCGGGGGCTGCGGAGGCCCGGCCGCACGAGCGCTGGCGGCCTGAGCTTGCGCTGGGATGGTGGCACTCGCTGGATCTGGGCTACTCTGTCGCGTGCTGCGCGGAGGCCGACAGAGGGTGAGGTGGGCGGAGAGCGAGCCACCCCGCCTGAGGAGAAGAAACAGGAACAGACATTGGAGCAACATCAGGAGTTCCAGGGAGGGAGGGAGGGATAATGAGGATCAGGAGGAGGATGATGAGGATGAGGAGGATAATGACTGGCTAGAAGGAGTACCATTGGGAGGGGAGGAGAAGGAAGAGGAGGAGGAGGAGGAGGACGAGGAGGAGGACGAGGCGGAGGTGGAGGAGGAGGAGGAGGACAAAGCTGTCTCCGGTTCGGTCGGTTTCGGCTGCGTCGCAGTCAGTCGGTCCGTTCAGTTCGGTCAGCTGTGGAATTATTCTTGCATCGTTGCGTCGGATCGGTTCGGTCAGGTGTATTTGGTAGATTCAGACGACGTCGGTGACGACGACTCTTGGATCGTCCGTCCGACAACGCTGCTCCCAGAGCTCCTTACAGTCAGCGGCCCCTCCCCCTCCCCCCCCCCTTTCGGCAGTGCCAAGGGTGGTCACCACCAGAGGGGGTTGACAGCTCCTCCTGGGCATCGTGGTTCGAGGATCGAGCGATCAGATCTTGGACGATCTGGCACGTCCTCGGGTGATTCTCGAGGGTCAGGAGGGGAAAAACCACACAGACACAATTAATCGTCGATCCCCAGGGAAATATGGGAAATGTGCGTATTCATTTGTGTGTCCCAGGGCCCCTCCAGAGGGTCTGGGCGGTTCCCTTGGGGGGCCTCCTGCTCGAGGTGGCAGCGCCCCCCCCTTCAATGATGATCCCCCAAGGGCTGCCCGACCCCTTCGGGGCGGCCGCGCAGACGGAACGGCATGCGGCAAGCCAGTGGCTTCATAGAATGTCGACGTCGTCGGACACGAGGGGCCTGTCGACCTGTCGGGCTCAGCACCCACCGTAGGAAAAAGGAAGGCTCAGCCCATCCCCTCCCGCAGGACCTGCTGAGCCTGAAGTGGCAGGAGCAGGAGGGCACTGGCAAGGTCTCTCTTTCATGCACCGTCGTCTGCCGTCGTCCGTCGTCGCCGACACCGTCATCGGCGGTCGCTGTCGTCCGTAGTCGTCGTCGTCGTCGTCGTCGTCGTCGTCGTCGTCGTCGTCGTCGTCGTCCTTGTCGTCGTCCTTGTCGTCGTCGTCGTCGTCGTCGTCGTCGTCCTTGTCGTCGTCTTCGTCCTCGTCGTCGTCGTCGTTGTCGTAGTCGTCGCCGCCGACATCCGTCGTCTGTCGTCGTCGTGGTCGCCGTTACTGGTTGCCGTCGTGCGTCCTCGTCGTCGTCGTTGTCGCCGGCGCCGCCGTCGACGTGGTGGAGGATGAGGAGGGTATGGAGGTGGTGAAGTTGAAGAGGGAGGAGGAATGGGAGGGGGAGGGGAGTGGGAGGATTCGAGGCCGGCGGATTGTGGCGGTCCTCGCTGTTTTCAGTTTTTTTTTTTGTAGTGTTTTCGTGGGTTGTTCGTTCTCTTGATCGTGATATTATTATTTTCTTCTTCTCCATCTCTCTCTCTCTCTCTTTCTCTCTTTTCTTTTCTCCATCTCTCTCTCTCTCTCTCTCTTTTTTTTTTCTCTCTCTCTCTCTCTCTCTCCCCATCTCTCTTGTTCTTTTTCTCTCTCTCTCTCTCTCTCACTACTTCTTCTCCTTGTCTCTCTCTTTCTCTCAGCCTCTTCACAAACAAATGCCCCCCCCCCCCCCAAGCATGTCCTTCGGATTCCAGCCCTGTGCCAAACGGCATGGGGCTGGAACTTCGCCAGAGGAGTCTTTACGAGCTTTCAGCTTTGTTTCATCATAATCCTTGTATTTCCTCCCTCGCTTTCTCCCTTTGCCTCTCTCTCACATACACATTAAATGCATCTCCGTCCTAAAGCATCTCAAACGGATCCCTCTGGAAAGCGAAGCAAAGGTACTCTATGTCCTCGCAACAGGAATCCGCTGGGAATCATTGTCAAGGGATTCGATTAGAAAGCCTCGTAATCGGAGCCGTGTGGAAAGCACTGCTGAGGGCTTTGATTGGGACGCATCACAGGAGGAAACCTTTGGACAAAACAACATATTACATTGGACAGCCTCGGGCTTGGCCCTCTGTGCGAAATGCGACACAGGAATTCCATCGTATGGCCTCACAACGGGGATCATCTGGAAAGCGCTGTCTAGCAACACACGCACTTGTTAGAAATAATCAAAATTGGAATCCTTTGGAACGCGCCCCAGAACGATTCTGTGGGAACAAACAGCTGGAACTCTTTGACAAGGAATGTAACAGTTTTTGCCGGACGGCCTTGCAATAAAGATCGCTTGAACAGCGCAAGAACATGGATTCTATCGGAGCGCCTGGTTACAGGAACCTTTCCTGGAAAACACCACACAGTGATTGAATTGGAAAGCCTCACCAGAGAAATCTGTTGGACAGCAGCACGAAGGACTCCTACTGGAACGCGTCACAAGAGGGATCCTTTGGAAAACGCTACGACGGTCTCCTTTTGGAAAGTAGTACACAGGGGATCCTTTGGAAAGCACAGCACAGGGATTCTTTGTGGAAATCGCCACAGGAGTTCCCATTTGGGAGCCGCACAAAGGGGAACCCATCGGCAAAAAATCACCACAGAGGAATTCCCTGGGAAAGCCTCACACCAGAACGCCGCTTTGGAAACACAGCTGACGGTTCCTATTGGGAAGCCGCACTCAAAAAATAGTCCATTGGAAAGTACCACAGAGGGATTCAATGAGGAAGCCTCACAACATGAATCCTTCGGATCGCGCCTCAGAGGGATTCTGATGCAAAGCCTCACGACAGGACTCCTTAGAAAAGCACCGCACAAAGATTCGACTGAACAGCCCCTTCAACCAGGATCCTTTGGAAAACGCCACAATGGGATTCTATGTGAAGTTCTCACAGTGGAAATCCTTTGGGACGCGCCGCAAAGGGGTTTGATAGGAAAACATCACAACAGGAATCCTTTGGTAATGACCACAAGGGGATTCTTTTCGGAAGCAGCACACAATAATCTGTTGGAAAGCACCACGAACATATTCTACTGGGAAGCCTCACAATCTGAATCCATTGGGAAACGCCAAGAAGAGATCCAATTGGAAAGCCTCACACCAGGAATCCCTTGGAAAGCACCACAACGGCATTCCAGTAGAAATCGCTCGAATGTGATCCCTTTCGGAAGCACCGCATAGGGATTCCACGGGACAGCCTCACACCAGAGAGCCTTTTTGAAAGCACGGGTGAGGACTCCTATGCGACAGCAGCACAAAACATAATCCATCGGAAAACAGCACAGAGGGATTCAATCTTGAAGCCTCACGGCTGGAAAATGTTGGATAGCGTTGCAGAGGGATTCGATTGGAAAGCCTCACGACAGAACGCTCCTGGAAAGCACCACGCAACGATTATATGGGAAAGCCTCGCAACAAGGATCCTTTGGAAAGTACCCCAACGGGATTCTACAGGAAACCCTCGCAGTGGAAATCTGTTGGAACGCGCCCCAAAGGGGTTCTATGGCAAAACATCACAACAGGAATCCTGCGGAAAGCACCACAAGGACATCCCACAGGGAAGCATCACAAAAGGAATCCGTTGGAAAACACCACAAGGCGATTCTAGTGGAAAGCCTCGCAACCGAATACATTCTGGGAAACACGACGATTATTGGAAAGCCTCACAACAGGAATCCATGGGAAAGCACCACAACGACATTCAATTGGAAACCGTAGCAGTGGAAATCTTCTGGCAAACCACAAGGGGGATCCTATAGGAAATCCTCACAACAGGAATCCGTTGGAAAGCGCAACATCGGGAATTCCATTGGAGTGCCTTCCAACAGGAATCCATCGGAAAACACGCCAAAGGGATTCCATAGGAACTCTGCACAAAAGGGTGTCACTGGAAAGCGCTACAAAGGAATGTTCTCCCACCCACCCCCACCCCCAAAAATGACACATTCTGTTTTGGATTTTTGTGTGGTGGGGACAGAGAGAAAACATTGAAACCGTCACAATGGGAATCCACCATACACGCCACAAAAAAGATTCGATAAGAAATCCTCACAACAGGAATCCTTTTGAAAGCGCCGCAGAGGGATTTTTTTGGAACGCCTCTCAACAGGAATCCAGTGGAAAACACCCCAGAGGGATTCTATTTGAGATTCGCACAAAGGGATGTCATTGGAAAGCACCACAAAGGATTTTTTCTCCCACCCACCCCGCCCCACCCCCCAAAAAATTGCCTATTCTGTTCTTGAGTTTTTTAGATTGTCTTGTTGGGGGTAAGCAAAAAAGCCAGTGCTCCTTCTGGGAAGGGGAGGAGGACGACGAGGAGTTGTGCGAGGATGAGGAAGAGGAGGAAGAGGAGCAGAGAGAAGAAAGAGAAAGGAGAGGACGAGGAGGAAGAGGAGGAAGTATGCGATAACCTCAGGAAAGCCATGCGCAAACACCCTCCGAAAGGCGAGGGCCGCCACAATCCCCTGTCCTCGAGGATTCAGCGGCTTCAGCGGGTCAAACGGCCGCGGAACCCCTATGGATTCGCGCCGCGGGTCTACTGTTTGTATCGGGCCCTCCCCGCGGCCCCGGAAGACTTGGCTTCCTTCGGCACCGTCTCGCACGCGCTGGATCCCAGCACGGCAGCTGAACAAGCGTGCCTCCTTCACGCAGGCCCTGCGGTGCACGGCTGCGCTCCTCTCACGAGCTGACCCCGGCGTTGTGGCTGAGACGGGCTGAGCATCGGATGCTCGTGCCCCCCCGAAGCGTGAGCCGTAAGAGAAGGTGTTGCCATTGCCTTTCCTTGCCCGCCCGCCTCCCAGCGCTGCAGTTGATGGCATCGGGCTTTTGCTTCGCTTTCCACTTCTCGTTGAGTGAAGTCAGAGCCTGATGAAGCAAGCTGCCGGCCCTTGTCGCGCTCGCCGTCCCAAGCGTTGACTCCGACTAGTTTGGGCTTTAGCTTCGCCTCGCTCTTCTCGCAGAGTTGCAACGGGTCTGCCCGCCTCTCGGTTTTCTCCCACGCCCAAGTCCTGGCGCTGTAGCTGATGACGTTGGGCTCTGCTTCGTCTTCCGCCTCTCGCTGTGTAGCGACAGGTTCCAGCGGCATGCCCTGATCCCAGCACTGTAGCTGATGACGTTGGGCTCGTCCTTCATCTGGCGGGCTTCATCGTTGCCTCCAGCTCCCCGCGCCTCGACGGTTGTAGCTGATGGCGTTGGGCTCGGCCTTCGCTTTCGGCGCCAGCTTGTTGTCCTGATCCTGGCACTGTAGCTGATGACGTTGGGCTCTGCTTCGTCTTCCGCCTGTCGCTGTGTAGCGACAGGTTCCAGCGGCATGCCCTGATCCCAGCTCAGTAGCTGATGACGTGAGGCTTGCCCTTCACCCGGTGGGCTCCATCTTCGCCTCCAGCTGCCCGCGCCTCGACGGTTGTAGCTGATGGCGTTGGGCTCGGCCTTCGCCTTGTCCTTCACCTGGTGGGCTCCATCTTCGCCTCCAGCTGCCCGCGCCTCGACGGTTGTAGCTGATGGCGTTTGGCTCGGCCTTCGCTTTCGGCGCCGTTGCCCTGATCTTGGCGCGATCGCTGATGACGTTGGGCTCTGCTTCGTCTTCCGCCTGTCGCTGTGCAGCGACAGGTTCCAGCGGCATGCCCTGATCCCAGCTTAGTAGCTGATGACATTGGGCTCGTCCTTCATCTGGTGGGCTCCATCTTTGCCTCCAGTTGCCCGCGCCTCGACGGTTGTAGCTGATGACGTTGGGCTCGGCCTTCGCCTTGTCCTTCACCTGGTGGGGTCCATCTTCGCCTCCAGCTGCCCGCGCCTCGACGGTTGTAGCTGATGGCGTTGGGCTCGGCCTCGGCGCCAGCTTGTCGCCCTGATCCTTGCGCTGTAGCTGATGACGTTGGGCTCTGCTTCGTCTTCCGCCTGTCGCTGTGTAGCGACAGGTTCCAGCGGCATGCCCTGATCCCAGCACTGTAGCTGATGACGTTGGGCTCGTCCTGCACCTGGCGGGCTTCATCGTTGCCTCCAGCTCCCCGCGCCTCGACGTTTGTAGCTGATGGCGTTGGGCTCGGCCTTCGCGTTCGGCGCCAGCTTGCTGCCCCGATCCTGGCGCTGTAGCGGATGACGGTGGTCTCGTCCTTCGCTGTTCGATCTACTTGTGCCTCTCTAGCTTCTGGCACCTCGTCGGTGGTAGTTGATGGCGTTGGGCTCTTCTTTTGCCTCTTGCTCCCGCTTCGCGCCCTGATCCCAGCACCCTCAGCTGATGACGTCGGGCTCGTCCGTCGCATGTCGGGCAACGCTGTACCCAGCGTCGTGGCGGACCAGATGGGGGCTCCAGCTTCGCCTCGTGCTTCTCGCAAAAGGCAGCCTGAGCCTTCTGCCGCTGCTCGCAGTTTTTGCATGCCGTGTTGCCCGCACTGTTGTTGAAGACACACGGCTCCAATTTCGGTGCCTCGCAACGTCGAAGTCCTCGGTGAGTCTTCACAGATCCCGCTGCCACTGCTCCCTCTTATCGCACTCGCTGTGGTCAGCGCTGGTACCGACTAGCTCCGGCTTCAGCTTCGCCTCCCGCTTCTCGCATCGTAGCGGCGGGAACGCCTACCGCTCGGTGTTCACACATTCCTTGACCCCAGCATTGTAGCCGATGACATCTGGGATATGGCCGACCAGTTTGGGCTCCAGCTTCGCCTCCTGCGTCTCGCAGAGGTGAGCCAGAGCCTGCTCCCTCTGCCAGCCTCTTTCGCACGCCCCGATGCCCGCACTGTGGCTGATGACATGGGGCTCCAGCTTCGGTGGGTCGCAACGTCGACTCGTAACGTTGAACTCCACGGTGAGTGACGCTTGGTTCCTCCCCCGTCCCCCCCCAAAAAAAACCTCCTTATCACCCGAAGGGTAGTCGTATAGGTATGAACGATTGGGAGGAGGAAGAGGAGGAGGAAGAGGAGGAGGAGGAGGAGGAGGAGGAGGAAGAGGAGGAGGAGGAGGAGGGGGTGGAGGGGCCTACTGCCACTGCTGCCTCTGCTCCTCCTGCCGCGCATGTCGTCACCGCCCCGAGCCGCGCGCCGTGGGCGATGGCGTCGGGCTCTCCGTGCGCTCCTCGGGGTGCGCGGAGCGCGCCGGGCGGGGTGCGGCGTGCGTTGCGCTGCTGACGACGAGGGAGAGGAAGCGGAAGCGAGGACCAGAGCGGAGACAGCGAGAATAACGCCATCGTGCGCGCGTGACTCGGCGGGTGCAAGGCCTCAGCGCAGTAGCGGAAGCCGCGGGGCTCCCACCTCATTGATGTCGGCGCGCATCAGCCCTGCAATTCCCGAGTTGGCTGATGCACCCCGGCCCCCCCTCCCGACGAGAGGACTTGCTGGGAGGGGGCGGGAGGAGGGGGATGAGGAGGAGGAGAAGGAGGAGGAGCAGGATGATGATGATGATGAGGAGGAGGAGGAGGTGGAGAAGGAGGAAGAAGGAGAGGAGGATGATAATGATAGAGGGGATGAGGATGGGGATGATGGTGATGATGATGACGACGATGATGTTGATGCTGATGATGATGGTGCTGAGGATTATTATGTTGATGCTGATGATGATGCTGGTGATGATGATTACGATGCTGGTGATGATGAGGATGCTGATGCTGATGCGGATGCTGCTGCTGATGATGCTGATGATGATGATGCTGATGATGATGGTGATGATGACGATGATGATGATGATGATGATGATGATGATGATGATGATGATGATGATGATGATGATGATGATGATGATGATGATGATGATGATGCTGATTATGCTGATGATGATGATGAGGATGATGACGAGGATGATGAGGGTGAAGATAATGATGCAGACGATGATGATGGTTATGCTGATGATGCTGATGATGACGAGGGGGAGGAGGAGGAGGAGGAGGAGGAGGAGGAGGAGGAGGAGGAGGGAGGAGGAGGAGGAGGAGGAGGTGGAGGTGGAGGAGGATAGGGAGGAGATCTGCGCCCTGGTAAGGGATGGGAGGGAGGGGTAGGACGTCAGATATGATGCGAGCGCACCTAGCCTGCCCTCTCCATCTCTCCCCCCTTCACCCTCCGTCCCCTCCTCCTCGCTCCCGTGCCGCCCGCCGCCGCTGGTCAGAGCCACCCCCCGCGCGCCAGCAGCCACTGCTCCACGCGGGCGCCTCGCGTTGCGCCACGCCCCGCGGGCGGGACGGGCGCGACCCGGGCCAGCCTTCTGCCTCTGCTTCCCCCTCCCCCCTCTCCGCCCGCCTTCCCTCCACGGGGAGCTGCCCGCCTAGTTCTCCTGCTCCTCCTCTCCTCCTCCTCCTCCTCCTCCTCCTCCTCCTCCTCCTCCTCCTCCTCACCCTTCCTCGTTTTCCTCCTCCTCCTCCTCCTCCTCCTCATCATCATCATCATCATCATCCTCATCATCATCATCATCTATCAGCCTCGCCGTCGTAGTCCTCCTCCTTCTCCTCGTCCTGCTCCTCCTCGTCTACCTCGTCGTCCTCCGTCCGCCTCCTTGTCGTCGTCCTCCTGGGCAGGTCGGGGGGATCCTGCCAAAGTACCAGGGGTGGCCATGGGCGAAGCTGGGATGTCGGGTCACCTGCGTGCGAGCAGCTACTCTAGAATACAGGTTTTACAGTTGCAGCTCCCAGGGGGTCCGCGAAACCCACACCACTGGGTGCGCTTCATTGAGTGTCGCCCTCCGTGCCATCGAGTATGGGTTCTACGGGGTCTGCTGTTCAATTCGACGCCTTCGGGATGATGCGTCGGTCTTTGGACAATGTGCTCCTACTGTGTTTGGTAATAGGAGCTGGTGTGAACTTGAGAACTAGTTCGTAACGAGCTTCGGACCGCCTCGAGGCGCGGGATGATAACGAGGATGAGAGTGAGTGGGAAGGCGGATGAGGTGTTGGTGATGAGTGGTGGAATCAGCAGATGAGCTCTGAGAAGTTAGCATCGCAGAGTTCACAGGGCACATGGCGTTCTCTCTTCGGCACACTGAGACCAAAAGGTCTCGCAGATCTTTACGCTCCCGAGCCTAGCTCAGTATTCACCCGCCGTCCAGCCTGTAAGTCGAGCGTAGTTTTGTCCAGCCCGTCTATGACTTCAACGTGCCGTGTGGCCTACTAGGCTCGGCAGTTGCGGGAGAACCCGTGCCCATCAATCCCTGGATGTTCTGGTGATCGTTCTTCAAGTGTGGTGTTGTTGGACGGCGTCAGGTCTGCGAGGTTCCTCTGAGCGCCATCACCGACGTGGTGGAGGCGGCACCCCACCCTGCTTCTGAGCCAGAGGAAAGCAAGCATGCCTCAAGTTCGGTCAGGGCGAGGGTGCAAGGGCTGCAGCCAGTCTTCGTGCACTCGTGCGCTGCGCGGTGCAGCGTTCAATCCCCCATCCCGCACGCCCGCGCATGTGTCAGTCACGCACCGCACCTGGAGTTGCGCGGGCTTCAACGGCACTGGGCCTCTGTAGGCCTGGCTTGAGCCACGACTTCGGTGGATGCCTGCGCCTGGATGGGCCAGGCGGCCCTGACTGCCAAGGCCTCGGCCCCAGAAGCAGTCGTCGGAGGCTCTGGTGGTCGTGATGGTACAGCCAAGACGATGAAACCTGGACCACGTTAGGCTCAGGAGGGGCTCTGTTTATCGGGCCGTTCATCTGGCCTCTGTCGGGGAATGTCTTCGTCGCCGAGGCTCGCCGTGGCCAGGAACGCCCCGTTGTTCCTTGCCAGCGCTCCCTGTGGCAGCGCGATGGCCGTAGATTCTCGTCCTCTCCCGAGGGGCGGCGCGTCACGGGACCAGAGCCAGACGGGCGTCCGATCTCAGGAGCGGCACGAGCTGGGAAGGGCAGGCCGGGCGGCGCTATAGGGCGAGGGCACATCCGTGCCAGAGCGTGCCGGAACGCTCCAAAGAGCGTGCCGGGACGCTCTGAGGAGGCCGCGGCGCCCGAGACGTCCTCCGGAGCCGCCAGATCTCAGACATTCTCGACTTGTCCTTACCCGGTGACTATTCGTCCTGGCTTCGTCTCGGGAAGCCGGTGGCGGGACAGACGGGTCGGTCGGGCCGCTCGCGGGGCGACCGGAGGTGGAATGGAGGGGCATGGACGGGGAGCGAAGAAGGGGGAGGCGGAGGACGAAGGGGGGAGAGAGCTTGGCATCGCTCGGACGTGTTTTTTTTGTGTCGAGGGCAAGCGAAAAGCATTTTGGACCATCCTGCGAAAAGTACGCGCACGAAGCCGAGGAAACGCACGGGGAATGGGCTTTCGAGCGATGGCGAGAGAGGGTGGACAGAGGATGCTGAACGATGCTGGGGTGAGAGTCAAGTGGGGGAAGGAGGAGGAGGAGGAGGAGGAGGAGGAGGAGGAGGAGGAAGAGGAGGAGGAGGAGGAGGAGGAGGAGGAGGAGGAGGAGGAGGAGGAGGGGGAGGGGGAGGGGGAGGGGGAGGGCGCGAACGGTAGGATCATACAGTCGGGGCCCTGAAGAAGGAACCCTTTTCGTTGGGGAGGGGCTCCGCGTTCCTTAAGTGTTTCGCAGCTTGCCTCAGGTTTTCCTTATGTTTTCGATCGGAAATCGAAGTTTAACTTATGGAAAAAAGGGGCCTCGTTCCTTATTTAGAGTTCCTTAGGTCAAGGCCCCGACTGTACATGTGCAGTGGCTGTCCGACGGGGTCCCTGTTTGACGTTAGGCAGCAACCGTCGAGCCACTGCACAACGTAGTGAGTTCGGTTCTACACTTCCGACGGGGTCCTGAGGCGAGAGCCCTGGTTTGAGGCCCACGCGCCCTCCGTCCTTGTACCAGTCTCGCAGGTTGGCGTTTCCTGCCATGAGGCCAAGTCGAATGCCAAGTGTTATCCCCATTGAGAACACAATCCGCTCTCTACCCTTGCAGCTGTTGGCTGATACTTAAGCTGAATGTTCGTGGCGCTGAGGCGGAACTGCATGTTGAGAGCGACCCACCCTCCATTCTCGTACGTAGTTGCTGGGTTAACTCGAGTGTGCGCAGCGCCCAATGTCACAGTCACATTTTGAACGCGTTTCACCGTCGATTCTTGCAGTTCTGGGGATCTGTTTAGACGAGTGTGCGTTGTGCTTTCGCGCGAGTGCCCGATCGTGAGATCGATGTTGAGATCGATAGTGAGGTCGTTTGTGAAGTCGGTTCTGGGAGGTAAATAGTGAGATCGATAGTGCGATCGATAGTGAGAGGGATAGTGAGATCGATAGTTAGACCGATTGTGAGATCGATAGTGCGATCGATAATGGTATCGAAACGGAGCTCGAGCGTGAGATAGATAGTCATGCCGATCGCAATTCCGATGGAGTGAGACGTTGCTTCCTCCACCCCGAACCTCTTCAGCACCCGAAAGGTGGTTGTATAGGTAGTACTCCCTGCTGTAGTTGCCATCAAGGGAGGGAAGGAGGGAGGGAGGAACGAGGGAGGAGGGAGGGAGGGAGGAGGGGTTCCTTTTGCACCTCCTTCGCCGCTTCTCTTTTGCCTCCGCCTTTCCAACTCCCTCTCCTGCGAGTCATCCTCGTGGCTCCTCCTTTTCGTCGCATGTTGCGCACCTCTATAGAGCATGGATCGGATCGACTCTTCCTCCTCCCCCCTTCTCCTCTCCCCCCCTCCGCTTCCTCCGCCTGTGCGTCCCTCCACAAGGAGCAACTCTACATTGCTCTCCTCTCCCAAATGCTCATATCTGGAACTGTCTCCACCTATCTCGCTCATGGCTATTGCAGTTTGTTCGTACTCAACTTCTCCCTGTCATAGGCGTGGTGTTCGAGCGGGACGTTCCCGGTCCTCCAAGGAGGATGCTCCTGAAGCTGTGCTGGCTGCATTTCAAGGTCGGCTTGTGATCTCCCCCATGGCGTTCTCGCTCGAGCGCGGGCCACATGCTGAATCCGATGGTCTCCTCGTCGTTGCCGTCCCCCGCTTCGTCCCCCCCTCCGCTCTCCCCCGCTTCGCATGCTCCTCGTGCTCCTCCTGCCCGTGCTGCGGCCGCCCCGTCTGCTCGTTTTGTCTCCTCGTCCTCATCGTCTCTCTCCTCCGGCTCCTCCTGCTGGGCATCCTCATCCTCTCGCTCTGTGCGAACGCCCCCTCTCCCCCCTTGCTGGTGGCGCCTCGAACGATCGGGTCGCTCTCGGGCACCCCAGCCGGCGGACACACACAAACACACAAACACACAGTCACACAGCCACACAACCACACAAGCACACAAGCATAGAAACACACAAGCACACAGACACAGATACACACATACACACAGACACACAGACACACAGACACACAGACACACAGACACACAAACACACGAACACAGACACACACACACACACAAACACGCAAACACACAAACACACAAACACACAAACACACAGGCACACAGGCACACAAACACACAAGCACACCAGCACATACCCACACACCCGCACGAACACACAATCACACAAACACACAAACACACAAACACACAACCACACAACCGCACGGACACACAAACACACAAACACACAAACACACAGACACACAACCACCCACAACCACACAAACACACAATCACACACACACACGCACACGCACACGCACACGCACACGCACACGCACACGCACACGCACACACACACACAGACAGACAGACAGACAGACAGACAGACAGACACACACACACACATTCACACACACACACAGACAGACAGACAGACAGACAGACACACACACACACACACACCCACACCCACACCCACACCCACACCCACACCCACACCCACACCCACACACCACACCCACACCACACCCACACGCACACGCACACGCACACGCACACGCACACGCACACGCACACGCACACGCACACGCACACGCACACGCACACGCACACGCACACGCACACGCACACGCACACGCACACGCACACGCACACGCACACGCACACGCACACGCACACGCACACGCACACGCACACGCACACGCACACGCACACGCACACGCACACGCACACGCATGCGCACGCACACGCACACGCACACCCACACGCACACGCACACGCACACGCACACGCACACGCACACGCACACGCACACGCACACGCACACACACTACTTCAGCGTAGTTGATGGGGTGGGTGGGAGTGGCAGGATGTCAGATATGGCGCGAGTGCAACTGGCGTGCCATACAGTGCCTCAGTCTGAAATGTCGTGTGCTCCTCTCTTTCTGGATGTTGTGCGTTACTAGGACACCGCCTCCCCTGCATACGTGTGCCTTTTGTTTTTGGTTCGTGCATGCTGGAATGATTCGCATGCGTTTTTTTAGCACGACGTCCTGGTTATCATGGTGCGCCCGCTGCAGCGTTGGTTTCCTTTCAGAGTCGACGCTTTGTTCCCGTCATTTAGAGTGATGCTCTCGCTCCAGCGCGGGCCACACTTATTTTTCTGATTCCCTCTTCGCCTTTGTCGGCACCCTCCTTTCCCATCTTTCGGCTTCCCCTGGTTCTCCTGCTCCTCCCGCTCCTGGTGCTCCTGCTCTCCTGCGTCTGTTGCTGCTGCTGCTGCTGCTGCTGCTGCGGTTCCTTCTCCTTCTCCTCCTGATCCTCCTCATCATTATTCTTATTATTATCATTGTTTTTATTTGTTTCTTCTTCTTCATCCCCCTTCTTTCTTATCCGACAGCCCCGCGTTCTCATTGCGCATCGCACGATTGGGGCCTTCTGGAGGCTCCAGATCCGCCAGGACACCCGTCGGCGGATCAAGACAGATCAGCGCAGTCGGAAGAGAGGGGCGCGAGGAGCAGGCTGTCAGATGTGCCCCGCGCGCCCGGCTTGCCTCTTCCCCTCTCTCTCCCCCTTTCCCTTGAACTCGGGCAGCCCTGCGAAGCTCCCCAGCGGCCCGAGGCGGCCCGAGGAGGGCCCCGAGGAGGGCCCGAGCTGGCCCGTGCAGGCCTCGGCAGGGCCTCGTGCCAAAGTGGGGTGTCGGATGTGGCGCGCGCGCGCACCTCGCTTGTGGCTGGGCCTCCCAGCCGGGAACCGAGAAGAGGGGGTGGGAGGATCGCGCCGCATCGCCGATGCAACGGCGATGCGGCTCGATGTCGAGCCCGATGTTCCCCACGTCGGCGGGGCCGGTGCATCGGCGACGTCGCTGGTGCATTGCCGATGCAACACCAATGCTTCGGCGATGCGGCACGATCCTCGGACCCCATTTCATTACTCGGACCCCACCTAGGAGGCCTCTAGTCCAGAAGCCCTCTCTGATTGTCTCGAGACAAGTCTTCCACTTCGCCAAGGAGCCCCAGACGTGCGGTGCCTTGCTTTGTTCAGTACGCGGGTTCCAGAAGTCCCGACCCTTGCCCAGGGGCCACCTTCGGATCCCGAGCCGTCGGTTGACGGCCCCGGGGCCCGAACGGCCAACAGACCTCCAGTCGTGGTCGTGGGATTTCTCGCCGTGGCGCGGGCATGTCTGGGGAAGACCGTGCCGTCGGAGATCTGGGCCCGAGCACCGCCGATCCGACCCGACTCCCCTGACTTCGGATCCGCCGCATTTTGGGCGATCTCGTGAAATCTGGGTTGCCCAGATGGGGTCGCAGCAGATGGGGGCGGAGGATCGCGCCGCACCGCCGATGCATCGTCGATTATCTCTACGCCGACGTCGCCGGTACATCGGCGATGCATCGCCGATGTATCGGCGATGCATTGGCGATGCTGCGCGATCCTCCGACCACATCTGCTCGGACCCCAGCTGAGAGGCCTGTATAAAAAGGGCGAACATGTCCGGCCTACCCGTCATGCTCCGCGGATTTCCAGTTCCGCCCTATTCTGCCGCCGCTCTTTCCCCCATGCAGTCGGACCAAGGTCTAAGATCGAGGTCGGTCCAGGGAGGGTACCCTGATGTTCTCCGTGTCTGTAGGATGTTCTTTTGCATCCAGGGGGGAGGGTATCCTCGGATATTCTCCAGTTTGGGCCGGCGGAGGGTCTCCTGTTCTTGAAATCGAAGAACAAAAAAACACATACATGTAAACATTCGGCGCTCCGCGCGGATTCCTTGGATCCACGCTGGGGCCTCCTGGCGGCGCCTCCGGCGCCGCCCCTGGCGCGCTCCGCGCGCCAGGGAAGGGGTTCTAGCCCAGATCTAAGAAATCTGCGTGGATTGTCAAGTTTCTTTGTTTACGCCGTTTTGTTTCTTCCTCGCTTCTAGCCTAGGTTTAAGTCGGGCACGTCCCTTAACAGGAGGATGATTCAAACATGTTTTAAAAAATCGTATGGAGACGATGTGTCTACCATTTTCGACTATTTTCGAATCAGTTTTGCTTTTTTTTCATGTCGCTTCGAAAATCCGCCTGAGGGAGGACATGCCCGACCTAAGCCGAGGTCCAGCTGGAAACATGCGCCCCATGTTGCCTTTTTTTGCCCTGCCCTCTCTCACCTGCGCCCCTGCGGAGAACGGCGGCGGCCCCTGGCGCGCTCGCTGCTGCCGGGCGCCGGGCTTCGCCTCCGCGGCGTGGCATCACTCGGGCCCGTGCGTTCTGCCTCGTCGAGGACCATCGGGGAGCATCTTGTGAGCTTTTCTTCCCCCCCCTCCCCAGGGTGACGCTCGCTTCCCGGGCCAAGCCCCTCCCTCCCCCCCTCCCCCGGGTAACGCTCACGACTGTACTGGGGGGGGGGCTGGACCCCCCCCTGCATGCTGCGGTGCACATAGGCGATTGGTGCGCCCGGGGCGCGGACGCACCCTGGCGGGTGCATGCCGCAGCCGCCGTTACCACTACCCCCCGCCCGACTCCGCCCCCCACCCCCCCTGGGCAGCGACCCTTGCCCGGGAGAGAGGAGCGCAAAGGGTCACCCTGCATCACCTTGCGAAAACGGCGCGCGCGAAGCCTAAGACTGCAGAGGGCATGGATCTGGGCGCCCGAAATGGGTACGGATAGAATGGATACAATGCCCAACAGCAGTTCCTGTTCATTTTGAACAGGATTCGCGGTCCACGCCGCCGCGGCCTGTGTCCATTCGAGACAGAAGGCCGCCTGCCCCACTGCGGCCGCTGTCGGTTTGGGACAACGTTTGTTCTTGGGCACTGTACCCATTTTTTCCGTACCCATTTCGGGCGTCCAAAAGGGACGTCCGGGCGATTCAGGACAGAACAAAAGCACACAGACACAATTAATCGTCGACTCTCAGGAAAATATGGGAAAATACGGGAAGTGGGGGGGAAGACGAAAACCCAGAACATATGGGAAAATATGGGGAATAGTTTTATTTGTGTGTATTTATGTGCGTGTCCTGGGGCCCCTTTAGCGATGGCAAGCTCCGCGGTGCGCAGCGCGGCGCAGGCGGCGCCGGAGGGCCAGGAGGCCGACCCAGACCACTACGCCATCTCGGTCGCGCTGCGGCCAGGCGGCCGCGGGGCCGCGCGGCGGGCCCGGGGCAGGCTCGCGATAGGGGGACCGCGTGCGAAGCCTACCCCTAGCCCCCACGATTTCTGAGGGGGAGGGTGGGGTTCACGTCGCTTTCGAGCTCCCGAACGAAGTGAGCCCCACCCTCCCCCTCAGAAAGCGTGGAGGGTAGGGGTAGGGTGCGCATGTGGCCCCCCATCGCGTCGTGAGGAGATCGCCTCGGCATCGCTCGGACGTGTGCCTTTTTTTGTCGGCGACGATCATCGAGGGGCATCCTGGATCATCTCGCGGAAAAAAACACCCACGGAACCAAACATGCCTGGGGAACGGACCTCCGAGCGATGGCGAGTCACGGCGGCAGGCGTTGGGGCCACTTTCGGGCCCTCGCGGGGCCTCGGTAGCGTCGAAGGACGACCCGGGATGAAGCACAGACCCTGGGGAAAAGGTCGGGACTTCCAGGGACCACAGGAGAAGGGTCGGGAGGCGGAGGGGAATGAGGGCCGGAGGAAGCTGGCGGAGGAGGGGGAGGAGGACCAGTATGACCCCAAGAGTCACCAACGATGTTGGAATTTACCCTTCCTGCAAGCTCCCTCTTCGCAGGCCCCTGCAACGGTTCATTTCAATCAAGGGACTGCCTCGCTGGAAGAACCGCTTCCAGATCCTGAAGCATGCCAATACATTGTTCTCGGGATGTAAACGCCACGTATAAACTTGATTGCTGCGTCTTGACGATCCGGAATCGTGCCAGAACGCCATTTTTGGGACGTCAACACCGCGAATCTACATGACTGTTGCACCCGCGTAATCCTGAATCCTTCCAAAACACCACTTCTGGTACGTTGATTATGGGAATCCGTGAAATTCTTGCAAGTTGTTAGAAGGAATGTGCGCGGCGCTAAGGCGAGAGCCACATGTTGAAAAGGAACTGCCCTCAATCCGTGAATCTCTTGCCAAGTGTCAAACGAATGTGCGCGGCGCTCAGGCGAGAGGCACATTTTGAAAAGGAGCCGCCCTCAATCCGTGAAGCTCTTGCAGTTCATAAATACGAATGTGCGCGGCGCTAGGCGAGAGCCACATTTCGAAAAGAGCAGCCATCAATCCGTGAAGTTCTTGCAATTTTTGTAATTTACAACGAATGTGCGCGGCGCTAAGGCGAGAGCCGCATAAACAAAAACACGGCCCGCCCTCAATCCGTGAAACCCTTGCATTTGTTTAAACGAGTGTGCGCGGCGCTAACGCGAGAGCCACATTTTGAAAAGGAGCAGCCATCAATCCGTGAAGCTTTTGCAAATGTTTAACACGAATGTGCGCAGCGCTAAGGCGAGAGCCACATACAAAAAAACGGCCCGCCCTCAATCCGAGAAGCTCCAAATGTTCAAAACGAGTGTGCGCGGCGCTAAGGCGAGAGCCACATTTTGAAAAGGGCCCGCCATGCCACTGTTCAAGCTTCCTCCGCTACAAAAGGTGAGGAAGTCTCAGGCGAAACGCCTGGCCCGCCCAAAAAGCTGGCCTTGGGGTGCGACGGGGAAAGTTATCTATAAGAATGGAGGAGGAGGTAGAGGAGGAGGAGCAGGAGGAGGAGGAGGAGGAATGGAAGGAGGAAGAGGAGGAGGAGGAGGAGGAGGAGGAGGAGGAGGAGGAGGAGGAGGAGGAGGAGGAGGACCAGGATGGGGGGGAGCGGAGGGGGAGGGGGAGGGGAGGGGGAGTGGAGAGGGGCAGGGAGGCGGAGATGGAAAGGGAGGAACGGATTGAGGAGGATACGAGGAATCGGAGCAGTGAGGAGGGAGGGGGGGGGGGAGGAGGAGGAGGAGGCGGCCGAGGAGGAGAGGAAGGCGATGGGAGTGGGTGATGGAGGCTTTAGGTGGCGGGGGGGGGATGCGGAGGAGGAGGAGAGATTGCTGTAAGACGAGGGGTGGTGCACGGGGAAGGGAGGGTGAGGCGGAGGAGGGCTGGAGAGGGAATTGGGAGGGTCAAGAGCAGGAGAACAGTGGTATGTAAATGGTATGGTGTGGTATGGTATCTAGCCGTGCCTATAGTGTGCTCGGGAGGGTGGAAAACACATGTTCGCGTCTGGGTGTTCGCGAACGGTTCGCTCATGGTTCGGGGCCGTCTGTTCGCGAGTTCCAAGGCCCCCAAGGGCCCTGTCCGCGGCCGCTCGGTTGAGGGGAAGAAAGAGGTTCACATCGAACGGCTTGTAAACAGTTCGAGAACGCATGCTTGGAAACGATGTTCGGGTCAGCCCTGGGACGGTAGGCTGCAGTATGGTATGGTATGGCTTGGTATGGGTGGCCCCACAAGAGGCCAGTGCGTCAAGCTGGGTCAGTTCCCGCTGCACCCCCCTCTGCCCGCTGCCCCCCTCCGTCGATCACCCGCCGCATCCTGCTCCCTGCCAGCGCTATCTGGCGATCCTCCGACCTCATTGTGCTTGCTCTCTTTCTCTCTTGTTGTTGTTGTTGTTTTCTCCATTTATTATGTCTTTCTCTCCCGCGCTCGCCGCCGACATCGAGTTGCGAGAGTCGGCGCCAGAAGGCTACCGATAAGGCTTGCAGAGATTGGGTGGGTGCTGCTGAGCGCGAGGTCTGCGTCGCCACTCGCAAGGCCCCGTGTCCCCGGGGTGCCAGAGGGAAGCACCCGCAAGATGCGTAAGAGAGACATCGTCAGTGAGGACTTGTCTGGGGAGAACAACGTGTTGTTCGCTGCCAGGTGGCTGGCCAGTACGCTCTGCAATTTCGAGGGCCCTTGGGCCTTGGGCAGCCAGGCGGGCATCAAAATTTGTCGCGCGCTCCCTGCAGCCGCCGCCTCAGCGCGCCGAGCGCTGAGGAGATGCCGCGGCCCCCCGCCCGCTGCTGCCCCCCTTCATCGAAGAGCTGCCGCAGCGCGGGCCGAGGGAAGGGCCCATCTTCGGTTTGTTGCCCACGTCGTGAGAACGGTACAGGGGGTGCTGCCCAAGGTCGAGGCGACTGCTCGAGCTGACGCGCGCCAGGAGTGGAGAGGTTGGCTTCTCTTCAAGGCTGGCAGAGACGCTCGTAGGGTGCACCGCGTAAGTGAGGGTGTCATTCCGTGGACCTCCACCGACATTCTTCGTGAATGGAGTGGCGTTGGCGGTTCCTCCTTTGGGTTTCAAAACCATCCTGTGGTGTTGGGTCCTCGTTTTGAAGACCGCGCCTCGTCTCCTCTCGTCTCCTTCCTCCTCCCCCATCCTCCCATCCCTGCTTCTGCCCTCCGTGCCAGTCGACCATTTCGGCCCGCCCCTCGCGCGTTTCGTGGCCCCACAGGGAGCTCCACCGAAGGCCTCAGTGGCGGCGTTTGCATGCTCTCCCCCAACCCAATGAAACGCTCCGTGGCCCCCATAGGGAAATCCACCGAAGGCCCCAGTGGCGGTGTTCGCTTGCGTCTCCCCCGCCCAAAATGATGTTGCGTTGCCCCACAGGGAGCTCCACCGAAGACCCTAGTGGCGGTGTTCGCATGCGTCTCACCCGCCCAGTACAGCGTTTCGTGGTCCCACGGGGGGGTTCGCCGAAGGCCCCAGCGGCGGCGCGCGCATGCGTCTCCCCCACCCAGCGCAGCGCAGCGTAGCCCCATGGGGGGCTTCACCGAAGGCGATACTGGCAACGGCGGTATTCACATTTGCAGATGGTTGGGTCCTTCGCCTGGATACGTTTCTCCCTCGCTCTCTCTCTCTCTCTTTATAGGTTTCTCTCTCTCTCTCTCAGTTTCCCTCTCTCTCTCTCTTTCTAGTTTTTATGTGTTTTTGTTTTTTTTGTTCTCTCTCTCTCTCTTGATTTGTTGTTTGTTCTCTCTCTCTCTCTCTCTCCTCCAGGCTGAGTCTAGGAGGTTGTCGGGTTTCTGGGGGGACGCCAGTCCTGCCCCTTGGTTTGAGATTGGAGGGTTGGCCCCCTGAACTGGAACCTCTGTCGTCTGAAACCATTGGGGAGTTTTCTGGGAAGTGCTAGGCAAATGCCTCGGTCTGCCCTCGTCCCTCGGCAGGTCGCGGTTGCCCTCCTCGCCCTTCTCCCCGAGCCAAGTGATTGTTTCCGTCCGATTGGTAGTTCTTGTGCGCTGTACCGCGCGCGCGGCAAGGCAGGCGCGGGAGTTGCGGCGCCCGCGAGACCACTTCGCGGCTGGGCCTCTCGGGGGGGCCGGGGATGTCGCGCGGCGATGGGCTGCTGGAGCTGAGATGTCCGCGCTCACTGAAGAAGAAGATGCTGCCGCAATGATTTTTCGATCTGTCTGAGCACCGTAAGATGGTAAGACCATGAACTGGCGTTCTGTTCAGGTGCTGTCGGACGCTCAGGTGGGCTGGATCCGGTTTTCGGATTCAAGCAATCGCTTCAGCTGCCTGAGTTCACAAATTCGTTCTTTGCATTCAAGAGCTGTTTTTTTACTTCAGGATCCAGCTCGCCCCCCCCGTTCCCCGGGCCCCGCCCGCTCTGGCCGCCTGAGGCCCCGCCTTCCTGAGCCCTGTCTCCCTAATCAACGCTGTGCGTAGCCCGCCTAGCTTTTAGCGGCAGAGGTTCGCTCTCGCCCCGCAGATCAAAAAGGGTTGTTTGAATTCACGATCCAGCCCGCCCCCCCCCCAGATGCATCTCAAATTTCCGCGCCGACGAGTCGGCTTCGAGTGCCGCGGGCGCCCCCTGGACAGCACCGCGCACTGCTCTGCGCGGGCGGCCGGGCTGCTCTTCTCGGTCCTGGCAGGAAGCCACGGCCACGGGGGGCCCAGGTCTCTGGACGCCCGACATGGGTACGGAAAGAACGGGTACAATGCCCAACAGCAGTCCCTGTCCATTTTTTGAACCGGATTCGCTGTCCACGCCGCCGCGGCCTGTGTCCATTCGAGGCAGAAGGCCGCCTGCCCAACAGCGTCCGCTGTTGGTTTGGGACAACATTTGTTGTTGGGCATTGTACCCATGTTTTCCGTACCCATTTCGGGCGTCCACAAGGCTAGCAGGTTCTTGAGTTCCAGACATTGGTTTGGGAACTCAGAGAGCTGGTTTGTGAATTCAGGAGCCAGTTTTTCTCAGAAACCAATGTGTTGAATTCGAGCACGGCCTCTGGTCTCCGAAGTCAGAAGTGCGTTGGCGATCGCTGATTTGCGCGTCTCTGGCGCTGCGCAGGGCGCCGGAGAGGCCGAGCCTGGAGGGCCGGCTGGTCCGCTTGTGCGGTGGGCGCCGAGCCTGGGAGCGGACGGCTGCGCGGGTCGCGCTCGCAGAGTCCCGGGGAAGAGTTCGAGGCGTAACGAGAGGGAGCGGAAGACCGCGGCCTTTGTGGGCCGCCCGAGGCAGCTCGAGCCTCGGCGGGGTGCAGGGTGTCTGGGAGGGTTGTTGCCGCGGGAGCGGTGGCGTTCCACGGTGTTCGGTGCTGAGGTGCACGGCCTTCGCGATTTCGGACTTTCAACGCGCCGCCGTCCTGCGGCCGCTTGTCCTTCAGCCCCCAGCGAAGGGCCGCTTCCTGACTGCGCTCCTGCCCGCGCCTGGAGGCCCGTGCGGGCGCGCGGTGGCGTCTCCCGCGCGCGGGTGGGCCCGGCATCGTTTCCAGCCGCATGCGCTCTTGCTCGCGGGGCTCCGAGCTGACTGGCCCCGCAGGTTTCTCGAGGCCCCCCCCCCCCCCTTCTGGCGCGGCGCGTCGGGGCCGCCTCCGCGTTGAGCAAATCGCGCGGGCGGGTCTCCTGGACCGCGCCCTCCATCGGCGTTCTGGTTGCGGACTGGGGCGGGAAGTCAGACTCGCGGAGGTTCCCTCGAGCTCCTCGAACGCTGCCGCGGAGCGCTGTTCTGAGGGGGCTGGAATGGGATGTGGGCGCTAGGCGCAACATGTGTTCCGGGGAACGCGTGGATCTGGTGCTCAGCTACTTGCAGAGGTCTAGATATACCCCTTACCAGACGAGATACCCTAGGGCTTTCTTTTTTGTTACGGTTTGGCGGCCAGCTTCGGCTACGTGCTGCCGTCGACGGATTGGCCGAAGTGCGGATGTGCCGTGGATGCCCTTGGACATCGCATCGGGAAGTGTCAGGACCCTGAGGTGGCCGAGGTAAGGAAGAGCTTGGTCGCGCAGCGCTTCTGGACTTGGGCAGCTGAGGTGGATGACGACCTCGCTTGCTTCGGTGTGACCACCCTGCCGACATTTCCCGCCGCCGATCAAGGCAGGCGGCGTCGTCGTCGATTGGCACCAGGCCTGAGGAGGAGGAGGCGGAGGAGGAGGAGGAGGGCGCCTTGGATGTCGTGTCTGAAGGTGACATGATCGTGAACGGCTCGCGTGCTGGCTTCGGACGGGGGCACTGCATCCCGCTGGAGGGGCCATGGTCCTTGTGTGCTTCGGCAGGCTGGGGAAGCCATGGCGCGTGCGCGTGGTTCAGGGCGGTCGCCCTGCCCGCGGCCCCCGCGAGCTGCTGAGGAAAAGCGCCGTGTCTGTTGCTGTCCAGTGGGCGACTGGCCAGGGCGCAGTATTGCCCGATTGCCGGAACGGCGTTGATGTTTCCCAGCTCCCCTGGCACGAGCAGCCCTCGGCTCAGAGGATGCACAGTGGATCTTCCCAGACCTTAAGAGATCAGTGGCCCACATGTGTGCTCTGGAAAGGGGTCAAGCGCACCTGTCTGTCGAGGAGGCCACTGACGACGAAGACCACTCACGGCGGCAAGGCAATGACTGGGCCGACAAGGCTTCCGAACAAGCGGCGCCCGTGCATCCCACTGCGGACTGCGCTGTGGGCGAGGGCCTGAGTCGTTCCATCGCAGTCGGTCGAGCTTTCGGGGTGCGCGTCTTTTTGTCCTCTGTGGCCTGGGCTCCAGATGGGCCCACAGATCAGCAGGTTTCTACCGCCTCCTGATGACAGCGCCACGCTGGCGAAGACCGTGCACCATTGGGGTCGGACTGGCCGATCCTGGCAGTGTTCTGCTTGCCTCCGAGGGTCGGAGGGGCGTGCCATCTCTCGAGCCACCTTCGGGTGCGTGCTCCGCAGTTCTCAGAGCTCCGCCTGTCAAGTGGAGGGAGCTCGGGCACCGTCGCGTTTTGAGGGGCTGTTCTAGTGCTTTTCTGTGTGCGTGTGCCACCAGCGTGGTTCGATGACGTCCGGGGGAAAGTTGCGCAACTTGGGCAACCAATGCGAGACTGACTCAGGCCAGTCGCGCAGCAATCCGTGGAAGACGTTGACTAAAGGACTCCGCCCCAAGAGCGTCGGTGTCACTGTTGATGGTCAAACACGCTTTGGCATCTCTGGTGAGTTTCGCGCTGCGCATTCTGCGTCTGCCCGATGTTCTCGTGGTGAATGTGGGCAGTGCTGCCAGGGGGTTCGCCAGCCCTTGGTGTGCACGTTGGGATGCAGCATCGTGGATGAAAAGCAAAATCGCCCTCATTCCCCTACCCCTCCTCTCCTTGGAACAGCTCCCGAAGTGCTGCGGAGCGCTCTGGAACGGTCGCGGCGCCCGATACAACATGGAAAGACCACCGGATCTCTGAGATTCCCGATTCGCCAGGGTCCGATTTTTGTCCGGTCCTGACTTCGTCTTTTGATCCTGCCCTGTTGAAGGCACCGCCCCCGGCGCGATGGACCTGATGTGCGCGTCCCCAGAGGAGCGCTCCTGGGGCTCTGGGACCGCTCCGTCTGCGCGCGGGGGAGTGGGAGGGGGGGAGGATGGAGAGAGGGAGGGAAGGAGAGGTGTGAGTGAGTGAGCGAGGAGGATAGGGAGGAGTGACTGATTCAGGAGGGGTGATTGAGTGAGTGAGTGAGTGTGTGAGTGTGTGAGTGAGCGAGTGAGTGAGTGAGTGAGTGAGTGAAGTGTGAGTGAGGCAGTGTGAGTAAGTGCGTCAGTGAGTTCGTGAGCGAGTGAGCGACTGAGTGAGGAGCAGCAGGCGGAGGAGTGCATGAGTGAATGAGTTGGCGTGCGTGTGTGTGTGTGTGTGTGTGTGTGTGTGTGTGCGCGTGAGTCAGCAAGAGAGTGATGGGGTGAGTGAGTGAGTGAGTGAGTGAGTGAGTGAATGAGTGAGCGAGTGACCCCCCATCGCCCATTGATCGCCGTCAGAGGTCTGCCCGCTCAGGAACGTTCGGATTTGCCATCGGGGGCCTATTGCCGATCAATTGGCGATGGATCGCCGATTCCAGGACGATTTCCCCCCTTGGTCAGTCCCCCCCCCAAGGTTGCCCCCCAAGCGAGGAAGCCGATCGGTACGATCGAAATGGGTACGGACAGAGTGGGGGCGAAGACTAACAGCTGCTCCTGTCCGTCTTGACCAGGGCGAGCTGGGAGTGCCGCCTGCCCAACACCGGCACAACAGTTGCTGCCAGGCATCGTGCCCGCTTTGGTACCCACCCTGAGGCGTCCAAAGAGGAGGCGCATCGCCTTGAATCGTAGGGGGCCCGCGGAAGCCCGCGCGGGCCTCGGGAAGTCGATGATGCCATGCGGTTCCTGCAGCTGGCCTGGGCGAGTGCTGGAGTCGTACATGCAGGTTCGTCTGGCCGCATGATCTTTCAGCGCTCGGCCCCTGTGTGGCTGCGTGCGCCAGTCATCCGCGGATCCAGCGCGCCGGCCGCGTGTTCCGCCGTGTTTTGTCCAGCGTTTTGGCGAGCTGGGCCCCTGGAGAGCCGTGACGGGCCCGGGGCCAACGACAACCAGCCCATTGCGCAGCATCTACAGACGAAGGATGGGACCGAAGGCTCCAGGCTCCCTCACCGAGACAGGTCGTGCAGTCTGGGGCTCCACGAGCACGTGCTGGCGTCCAGCCGGCGGGGCGAGGGTGTGCGCTGAGAGCATGGGCAGGACCGAGAAGGGGAGGGGCGAGGAGGAGGAGGAGAAGGAGGCGGAGGAGGAGGAGGAGATGGATGACGAGAAAGATGATGCTGATGATGATGAGGAGGAGGAACATGTAGATGATGCGGTGAAACAGGATGAGCAGGAGGGAGATGAAGTGGGGACGCGGAGGGGGGGGAGGAAGCGCAGGAGGACGAAGGAGAGAAGGAGTGGGAAGAGTGCGTGGCCAGCGGATGGGGTTGTGTGTGATTGACGCGCTTCTCCTGGCTGCCGTCCCCTCGCCTCGGGGTCCCACGTAATGCCGAGCACCGCAGCGGCCAAGAGAACACCACAAACGCAGAGGAGGTCACGTGAAGTTGGTCGCTCACCCTTCTCTGTCGTAAGTTTGAAAGAGCGCGAGAGAGAAAGAGAGAGGGAGAGAGAGAGTGAGAGAGAGAGACGTCAGATATTATCATCGACATTGCCGCATGCCGATGCAGCTCTGCCCTTCTAGAACATATTGGCTCTCTTGTGACATCTCAGTGGGCCAAAACTTAGGACAAGAGGCGGGGCCAGCGACCCATATGACTTCTGCCAGTGCTGGGTTTTACTGGTAAATCTGTTTTGTGATACGTTATTATATCAGTGCATCGAGCTTTTATGTTTTGTCGATATCCGGACGGACATGCCCATATCCTGTCGGTGCTTTGAACGGCTGGTCCATTGGTGTGCACCGTGATTGTTATGCTCACGGCTACTTCCTCCTTCTTCCAGAAGTCTCTTAGCTCCGACGTCTCAGGAATAGCAACCGCCGATAGAATTTCCCTTCGGACTCGATCTCTCAACCCCTTCCTTATGAGCACTATGTCAAGCGTTTTCGTTACGAAGCGTTCCAGAGAGGGCCTCGACTTCGAGGGATAGAGACGTTCACCTCTCTTCATGGGCGGAAGCTGACGGAAAGCCGGCGGAAGACGGCGGAGGGAAAGAAGGGGCGGCTCCGCAAGTGGACGGCCGGCAGGAGCTGGCGGAAGTGGAGGTGGCGCCCGCAAGAGGCATCCGCCGTATTGGCTCGAGCTCTCCTGGATCGGGCCCTGCGCCCGGAGATCCGATGACACCCGATGACACTCTCGATGCGGGGCCCCCCGATGGGGCTCCGGAGCCCCGGGCCCTCGCCCGGGGACGGCCTTCTCGCACCGAGTCGTGCTGCTCGACGCCGCCCGGGGGGCCCGTCGTCGCGGGGGGGGCCGGCGGAGGCCGGGCCAGGGGAAGGAGGCCACGGACCGGAGGTGTTGCTCCAGGCGGTGGGCGTCTGGAGGTGCGGGCCCCGTGGCCCGACGCGGGACGGGGAGGCTGATACACTCATTTATATACAAGTACACATCTATATTTATATATATATATATATATACATAGATATATACATGTGTATATCGTATATATACACATGTGTATGTAAATACATCTATATATGTGGTATGCCTTTCTGTGTAGACGTATACAGGCATGTGCATACGTGTATGCTGGCTTATGCCATGATATAGGTGTGCCTGTAGACGTGTCTACCCAGAGGTACGTACGGAGGTATTTACATGTACCCATACATTTACACATAGGCGTACACAGGTACATGCACATGCGCCTAAACATGTTCATCCGCATGCACATATTCATCACATATACACATACACATGCAGATGCATCAGCACATACATACTCAGACCCACATGCGCATCCATATACATAGACACACTCATAGTTATTCCCGTATTCAGCTTCATCTGCATATGCAGATCCATGTGCATATGCATGTACTCGCACACACATGTACATATACATATACACAGACATGTACCTATATTTTTCTTACACAAACTATATACACTTACATGTACGTCGACATCGAACTACATATACACATATACTTACATATATGTGTATGTGCACCCTGCGATCCATAAGACATGTGCTTTTCTCCGCGACGCCCAGGCGCCCCCGGGGGTCCTCCGAAGGTGCCTGCGATGGCCTCCAGAGGCCGGGGACATGTCGGGCCGCAAGCGCCCGAAGACCTCGCCCCCCCGAGCCCCGACCTCCCTCGGGAGCCCCCGCGGCGATCCGACCTCGATTCGACTCGGGGCGATTCGCTGGCGGTCGGGTCCGTTTCCGAGCCGGCCCGATCTCGTGATTCGATCCAGCTCGGGCCTGCCGACTCCCTAGGGGCGTGGACAGGGGAGGATGGTGAGGATTCGGGTTGCGCCCAGGCAGCCCCCCCAGGGAGTTGGTCCCGGTGTGGAGGCCCCCCCGAGCAGCCCAGGGAGGTCTCAGCACCCCAGAACCCTGCGTCGTGGAGTGTGTCGTGGAGCCCCAGGGGCGCCGCCGGAGGTGGCGCCAGGGTGTCGAGAGCGCCCCAGGCTACTCGGGGGGCCTGCTGAAGCCAGCCGGGACAACCTGGGGGGGCTGCTTGCGCAACCGGAAGCTTTCTTACACGGGCATGGGGAGGATTTCGAGTCATGGCGCGACGGGCTGAAGTTTCTCATCGGCTCGACCGGCTCGCAGACCTCGTCGCCCCAGGCCGGGTGCGGCGCTGCCCCGTCAGGGCGGTCGGTGTTCTTCTGCCGCGCTGGCCTGTCCCTGTCGGCCTCGCACCCGTCCCCAGCTCCCCTCGAGTTTCGAAAAAATCACGGCGAGATATCTGTTTGGCAATGCTCGAAGTAGGGGGATGAGAAGGAAGAGGAGGACGAGGAGAAGGAGGCGGAGGAGGAGGAGGATAAGGATGACGATGATGACTTGGAGGAGGAGGAGGATGAGGAGAATGAGGAGGAGGAGGCGAGGGAGGAGGATGAGGAGGAGGAGGAGGACCTTCTGCCCTCAGCTGGCCCCCGGATCGCAAAAGAACGGCCCAGCACGAAGAGCCTGCCCCAGAAACCGGGTTCTGGGTGGAAAAAGCGTGGCGTCGGGGGTATGTGTGACACTTCTCTGCCTCGCCGCCCCTCGGCCTCGCCCCCCCCCTCCCCGGGCCTCGTCCCGAGCAGCAGCTCCCCTCCCCCTCCTTGCCTCCGTGCCTCCCCTCCCTTCCCCTTCACAATTATTCAATATGAATACTACTCTCCCTCTTCCCCTGATGTCGGCCTGGGAGTGTCCGACCCCCCACCGCGTATTGTTTTTGCACAAAAAGGTTTCCCCAGAGTTGGGTTTTCGCATGCATTTTTTTTCAAAATGCTGCTCTCGCTGAGGCGCCGGCCTCACTTTCGGGCCCCGCTCGTTCCGAATCGTGCTCCCGCTGCAGCGCTGGCCTCATTTCCGTGCTTCCGCTCGTTCCGAATCGTGCTCCCGCTGCACCGCTGGCCTCATATCCGCGCGTCCGCTCGTTTCGACTCGTGCTCCCGCTGCAGCGCTGGCGTCGTTCCCCGTGCCATGCCACGGCATGCAATGCAATGCTCGGTTGATACTACGCTTCGCGGTGCTCTTCTACGCCATGCCATGCCGTGCTCTACAACGCATCGCGTACCCTTTCGGTATCATTGCCCTGCTCGACATCCGACTGTGCGAGTAGAGAGGGGATCTGCGCCATGGTAAGGGATGGGAGGGAGGGGTAGGATGTCAGATATGACGCGAGCGCACCTAGCTTGCCTCCCTCCCTCCCTCCCCTCCCTCCCCTCCCTCCCCTCCGCTCCCCTCCTCCACCTCCCCCTCCTCCATTCCTTTTCCTCATACATTAATTTCTCCCTGTCGCACCCCGAGGCGAGTTTTCTGGGCGGGCTGGGTGTTTCGCCTGAGACTTACTTCTTCACCATCCATGAATCTAGAGCTTAAGAAACAGCAGCAGCTTCACATATGGAGGGCGGGCTATGTTCAAAATGTGGCTCTCGCCCAGCGCCGCGCACACTCGTTTCAAACATGTGCAAGAGTCTCACAGATGGATGGCGGGCCGTTTTCAAAATGTGGCTCTCGCCTTAGCGCCGCGCACACTCGTTTTAAACATTTGGAGCTTCACGGATTGAGGGCGAGCCGTTTTTTAATGTGGCTCTCGCCTCAGCGCCGCGCACATTCGTTTTAAACATGTGCAGGAGTTTCACGGATTGAGGGCGGTTCCTTTTCACAATGTAGCTCTCGCCTTAGCGCCGCGCACATTCGTTTGTAAAGCCTGCACGAATTTCAGTGGTTCCCACGGTGAACGTACCATAGCAATGGTGTTTTGGAATGAGACATGATTATGCTGGTGCAACAGTTACGTTCATTCGCGGTGGCACGATTCAGGATCGTTAAGACACAACAGTCAGGGTGACCCGTGGCGTTGGAATCCCGAGAACGATGTTTTGGCATGCTTCAGGGTCTTCAAACGATTGTCTTCCAGCGGGGCAGTTGAAATTAACCGTTGTAGGGGCCTGCGAATTGGGAGTTTGGAGGGGTTTATTCCAACATCTTTGATGGCTCTTGTGTTTACCTTGGTCCTCTTCATCCTCCTCGTCATCCGCATCCTCGTCCTCACCCTCATCCTCACCCTCCTCCTCCTCCTCCTCCTCCTCCTCCTCTTCCTCCCCCTCCTCACTCATCATTAGCATCACCATCATCATCATCATCATCATCATCATCATCATCATCATCATCATCATCATCATCATCATCATCATCATCCGCAGCATCATCATCATCATCATGATCATCATCATCACCATCATCGTCATCATCATCATCATCATCATCATATTAACCATCGGCATCAGCATCGTCATTCGCATCATCATCGTCATCATCATCATCATCATCATCATCATCAACATCATCATCAGCATCATCAGCATCATCATCATCAGCATCATCGACATCAACGTCATTATCATCATCAGCAGCATCATCATCCTCATCCGATCTCTTCTGTCTTCCTCCTCCTCCTCGCACGATCTCGTCGTTCCTGCCCCTCCCTTCCTCTGCGCTGGCGTGCGTGCCCGTGGGGTGCTGCGCGCGCACGGCGGGAACGGGAAGGGCGGATCCCGCGTCTCTCGGGTCACTGTGGTCCCCTTCCGCGCGGCCTGTGCAGGTGGCCCCCCCTCGGCGGGCTGGGGTGGGTGGGCCGCGCCGGTGGGCTTGCACGCGCAAGGCGTGGCGCACCTCCCGCGTGCTGTCGGCCTCACGTGCGCGTGGCACTGGCTGGGGGGGGGGGTACAGCGACGACGCTGAGGTCAAGGGCCCGCTCGGCTTCGGAAGGCCCGCTGCAGCGCAGGCCGCGTGCAGCCCTAGAGGTCTACGAGTGCGTGCGCGCGCTGCCCGCGCGCCGTGCCAGAGGCTGGCGTAGGGCTTCCGACTCGCTGAGTGCCGGATTCGGAGCGCGGGCTCGCTGCTGCTTTGGTCCCTCCCTGGGCGTTCCCCTGGCGCTCCTCGTGCACGCCCTCCAAAATTTCAGTCGGGCATGTCCCTCTACAGGTGGAAGATTTAGACATAGTCAACAAGTAGCCTGAGGACGATGCCTCGACTATTTTTGGCTATTTTCGAATTTTTATGGGGGCCTATTGCGAAGGCCTCACGGCCGATGCCGCCGACCCTGTAGGCAGCGATGATGAAGACAATGTAGAGGGGTCCAAGATGCCCTCAGATGGCTCGAAGACGGCGCCAGATGCCTGCAAGGTCGTCCGAAGACAGCTCGAGAGGCCTCCTCCAGGGTTCGGGACGGCTCCAGAGAGTGCCAAGATGGGCAACCGAGTTTTTATGGGGGGCCATGTTTCGTGTTTCTTCCAAACTCCGCCTGCAGGAAGACAGGCCCGACGCAAGGCCTGCACAGCGCTTCGTGCTTCCTTTCGCGTCTGTGTTTAAGTCGGGCATGTCCCTCTACAGGAGGAATTTTGCAAAATAGTAAAACATAAGCCTCGGGACGATTTTTTGACTATTCTTGACCATTTTGGAGTATTTTTTGGGGGTCTGTTTCGTCGCAAATCCCCCTTGTAGGGGGACAGGCTCGACCTAAGTCTATGTCTGGCGGGCTGCGCCCTCCGCTGCCGCCTCCCCCCCGAGACTTCTTGCCAGCGCGGCATCTCGGCGGCGAGCGACGGGGAGGGGGGGTGAGGTGCAGAGGGGGAGGCCCTCTCAGAGGGCGGCGGGGCCCCCAAACCCACCCCTCCCCTCAGACTTTTTGCCAGCGCGGCAGCTCGGCGGCGAGCGACGGAGGGGGGGGAGGGGGCCGCTCGCTCCCGCGGGCTCGCGGGGAGGAGGAGGAGGAGGAGGAGGAGGGAGGAGAGTAGGGGAGGAGGAGAGGAGGAGGAGAGGAGGAGGAGGATAAGGAGGGGAGGAGGAGGAGGAGGAGGAGGAGGGAAAGGAGGAGGGGGAAGGGACGGAGGAGGATGATAAAGGGAGGAGGAGGAGGAGGAGGAGGAGGAGGAGGAGGAGGAGGAGGAGGAATGGAGGAGGAAGAGGAGGAGGAGGAGGGGAGGAGGAGGAGGAGGAGGAGGAGTGCAGAGGAGAAGGCCCTCTCATAGGGCGGCGGCGGGGGCCCTCTCGGAGGCCCTCGCGCCTCCTCGGACGTTCTTTTGTTCGCTGCGCCCCCCGGGGGGGAAGGCTCGGAGCACTTCTCGGAGGGCAGGGGGGCCTCCGAGCCTTCCGAGAAGGCCTTCTCCTTCTCACTTCCCCCCCCCGTACCCTCGCCGCTAGGCCGCGCCGCCCAGGTTGTTTGTTGTCTTGTCCGTTGGCTGGCTGGCAGCTCGGATGCTCGGGTTGTGAACTGCACTGCCAGTCGGCAGATCTGGCTGGCTGGAGAATGCCTGCCAGTTGATTTGGGCTGCTCCTTGGCTGGCTGGTTAATGGCATGTAGTGGCCCGGGGGGCGCGCGTCCACTGTGATTTGCGAGGGTTCGAGGCTTCGCAAGCGGGCACCCCCAGCTGTTCTTTTAGAAGGATTCGTGGCCTCGCACCCCGAGCCGAATTCTCAAGGAACGGCAGGGGGGGCGGAACGCGTCCCCGCCCCCCCTCCCCACAGGGTCCTGCTCTGGGGAGGGGTGTGTGGGGGGGGCGCTGCTGGGCAGCCTCTCTGGGGCGGCTTCGTGGCCTCGGCAGCGCCAGTGCATCGTCATTCGCAAGGGGTTGCGATCTCGAAGGCGCTGGTCGGTCGTCATCTGCGAAGGGGGTGTGGCGTGGGGAGCGCGACTCTGGGGCAATATTACGGGTGGTGGTGGCCCGGGGAGGACGAGACTGGTGTGCTCTACAAGGCATCGTGGCGTGTGGATCGCGAGCCTGCCGAGAAGCTCGCGAGGGCTTGCAACCGCCGGGAGCGCCAGGCGGCCGTGATCTACGAGGGAATTGCGGCCTCGGGGGCGCGAGGCTGGCGTAATCCATACTCAGGTTGGGGCCTCTGGGGGCGCGAGCATGGTGTACGGCCGACCCGTAGTAAGGATGGGCAATTTTCCTAAGGATACCCTTGTAGCCTTGCCTCCTCGGCCGTCCTTGGCCACCTCCGTTGGCCGCGCCCCGCCCGAACTGCTTCGAAATGGCCCTCCGAGGCCCTTGCATCCTCATCGTGCGTCCTTCTGATGCGGGCCGACTGTAATTTATGCGGGGTTGGGACTTCGAGGGCGCGAATGTGGGGCC